AAGGAAAATAAGAATCAGCGTAAAAACAACATGTATATAAACATACTAAACCTATGAAAATTTTATTTGATTAATATGTTAACATTTAATTAAAAATAAAATTTTACATTTTATTTGCTTAAATATGCTGTATTAATTGATTTCTGAGCATTGCTCTGTACGTATTTAATATGTTATACAATGTGACTTTTTATCAATTGTTGTTTCTCGTTAAAAAATATAGTATTATATTAAATATGAATATTAAATATAAACTTAAATGCATTGATACAATTTTTCATTTTTATATTTCGGTGTATATATAAAGATAAATGTAATTAAAATTTTTAATCTTATTTTAAAAAATATAATGTATCGTTTGATTTTATTTGATACCACACTGCTATTAATTTATTTTTATGTGACTTATTGAATAATTATATTTAAAACAAGCACAAATCAATTTTCGCAAAACATGGAATTATACTTGAAGCAAGTTTAATAATAATTTAAGTTCAATTTTTCAAAAGTAATACAAACATTTCATTACAGATATTTACAATTAGTATATTACTTATTAATAATTAAATAAGTTCTTTCAAAGAGTTTATTATAACATAACATCAAGAATTATCACAATGATAATTTTCATATTACTCAACAAGTTATCCCCTTGTAATATGATAAAAATACAAAATATTACTCAATTCAAAATATTTTTTTCCAATTTTCTATTCCATGAGTGCACACGTAAATTAATGAGTAATAATGTCATAATAATAATACATCATTTCTTTCATCGATGTACAATCCCTAAGAAGTAATAAAGTCGATCAAAAAATGCCATGGTTTACTTTATGACAAACAAATAGTTTCTGCAGCATTATCTCTTTGTTTGACACAACATCTACTCTCATTGTCAGTTGTAAACTTAAACTCACAGAGTATAGATAGAACAAAGACTTTATTTAAACGTTTGTTACAAAGAGACGAATTTGAAAAGGCTATACTAAGAAAAGAAATTGTCATAATCACATCTATATTGATGTTAAAGTGTATCAATTAAGAACATTTTAACTTCGCAATAATCAGTTCAACAATTCCAGTACAAGTCAAAAACAAAATGCGGAAAAAATGGTTTTTCCATGCCACAGACTTTGAATCTTTAATGTATCTATGCTTCATCTTATGCCGCATTTTCGGAATATTTCTATATAAGCTTCAACCTTCGTAGCTTCAAAATCACGTTACATCCTACCGTGGTTGTCTGTGTTTGCTGCGTTTTTAATTTGTTATTTATTCATAAAATTATCATGTTGGAACGTAATATTGGAAGTATAATTACAAATTTTCAAGTTATCAATTTGTGGTATATTACACGGTTTCATAATGATCGTCACGCATGTCTTGAGTGGTCCACGAATGCGTTTGCTACAGACTATTTCGAAAATCTCTTTGAAATTACCTTCAAAATCGTACAAAAAGATGTTTAAATTTATTCATGTCAAAGATACACGAGCATTATCTTTCGAGCCGCGCTACTATTCACAATTTTATCTAAATTGCATCAGTTTACTGATCCTAACTGTTTGACTGTTCTAACTGTGATATCTCTAATATACAGTTTGCTGATATTTCAGATAAATATGCTGTATGTAAATTGTGTTATGTATTAAGGGCTTGTTTCAAGAGAATCAAGAGAATGACAATTTAGCATGCATACAGGGACTCATGGTAAATGATGTAAACGTATTTGTTCCTAAATTTATCTGCCACGTGCAGAAAAATCAATCTTTGTTGATAAAATTAAAAATCTTGAAGAAGCAACATTTGATGATTAGCGACGCAGTACAAATGCTGAACATAATCTTCAGTTTGCAACTCGTTGCTACTATATTTATGACCTTTTCTGCTATCACCTTTAAAATTGTATACGTATTATTTTTTTGTATGGCAAGATGAAGTGTCCTTTAATTTAGATAAACATTCCATTAATGTGCTTTTACTTTCTACGACATATAACATTTTAAAAATGGTATTACTTGTATGGGCCTGTGAGACCGGAAAGAATCAGGCGCAAGACAGCGATACCATCACGATCTACTTAACAGCATCAATGATAAGCAAATGAAAAATGAAACAAGGATGTAATTTTATTTATTTATATATATTTTGCTGAAATATAATACACTAACGCAATTATTTTAAATTTGAGATTTATTGAATTGCATTTTTTGAATTGTGCAGTTCTATTTTTTTATCCATCTAATTGTTTTGCGATCTGATGTTGCAGTTGCAGTTGCGGTTTTCATTACAAGTATTACATCGCGAAAACATATTTTCGACAAAATTTTTCACGATAGATACGACACTTCTCATAACAGTAAGTAATCAATTATTTGTTTTAGTTAGTAACATAGACGTCTATTGTTTATATTTTCATTTTATTTTTAGACAGTGGGTAACGTTACCACGTATCTGTTAATCCTGATACAATTTTTGAACATATCGCATTCCTGTGATGGAAAGATAGCAATTAATGTTACACAATTCAAAAAGTACATAATACAATTTTTCCATATAAAATTTGAAATCGCATCTTATAGAAGAAATATTGTAAATTGTTTTATTTTAGCTAATTCTTTACAGCAAATTCACTTCTGTTTTAATTACTTTAATTATGTTATAAATAAAAGAAGATTTTTTTTCAATAAAGTTGCGATATAATCATGCTTAAAGCATTTAATAATTTACGTAAATTATTTGTAATCCATCCCCAGAGAAATAAATGCCGATCGAAGAATACCATAGTTACTTCACTCTACTTTCAACACTCTATTGTAACAAATAGCTTCTTTAACTCGGTCTTTCTACTTTCTACGACGAAGTATTTCTCGCAGTTTTAAATTAAAATTTGTCGAGTGTAGATAGAGACCACATCAGTTTATTTATGGTGGAAAGACAAACTTAGAGTTCAAATACAGAAAAAAAACGTCTATGTTAATGCTAAAGTGTATAGTGAATTAATATTGTAAATTGAAGATCATGATGCAGATTGTTACTTTCTCATGAATTTCTGCTAATCGGATCGTATTCAAAAATTCAACAATACGTCAAAAGCAAAATGTGGAAGAAATGTAGGCTGTTTCACGCCACGGACTTTCAATCTTTAATGTATCCTTGCTTCATTTTTTGCCATATTATCGGAATATTTCCATACAAGATCAACGCTTCTACCTTCGAATTTTCAAAATCGCACTACATTGTCTCGACTGTGGTTGTCTGCATTTGTTGTGCTTTTAACCTAACATATCTTTACAATATCTTTTCAACATTTCACTTTGGAATCGAAATCAAGAGTCTTAGAACGATCTGTTTCTATATTTTTAACAGCTTTGTCATGATCATCACGCACATTTTGAGTGGTCCGCGAATGCGCTTGTTACAGACTATTATGAAAATCTCTTCGAGATTATCCTCGAAATCGTATCAAAAATTATCCAGAATAATCCATGTCAAGGATATCTTTGGTACTATATTCTTAATTGTGCAACTGTGCACATATTTTTTTCAAAAGCAGATGATTAAACTAGACTATATGTCTATCCTGATCATGGTGTTCATTTTATATCAAATGCTTCTGGAGTTCGAGATAAATATGCTGTATATAAATTGTGTATGTGTTTTGAAGGCCTGTTTCGAAAAAATTGACGAGAATGTGGCACACTTACAAAAAATCATAGTTAAGCCATGTATATCCACGTTAACCTGTCAAAGAATCTGGCAGAGAAATCAATTTTTACTGATAGAACTCAAAATCTTGAAAAAGCAACATCTGGTGATTAGCGATACAGTGCAAATGTTGAACGAAATCTTCAACTTGCAACTTCTTGCTACTATAGCCATAACTTTTTTTGTTATAACTTTTGAAATTTATTGTGACGTAGTGCGTTGGCAAGGTGGGATATTAATTAACTTTGATATGCAGTTTATTTTCGCACTTTTTACGACAGTAGGACATTACACTATGAAAATAACGTGGCTTGTATGGGCTTGCGAGACTGGTAAAAATCAAGCCCAAGAGATAAGCACTACAGTTCATGGTTTACTTAACAGCACCAATGATGAGCAGATAAAAAATGAGGTAAAGGAATACAAAAATAAAATTGTTTTATCTGTATATCATTCTGAAAATATAATTTATATTAACACAATAAAATTTGAAGTATAATTATGTTCTTTAATTCTATTTTTTTGTTCTTATATTTAATTATTTGGAGATTTGATATTGCAGTTGCAGCTGTTTTCTTTACAAATATTGCATCGCAAAAATATATTTTCGACAAAAGGTCTGACTGTGGATGCTACGCTTCTCGCAATAGTAAGTATTTAATTATTTGTTTTAATAAAATGTTTATTGTTTATATTTTTTATTTTTAGATAGTGGGTAATATTACCACGTACCTAATAATCTTAATACAATTTTTACACATGTCTCATTCTTGCGATGGAAAGACAGCAATTAATATTACGCAATCTAATTAAAAAAGGTATGTAATCAGATAAAAAAAAATAACTTAAATATTTAAAAAAATATAAATTTCATCACTATTAAAATCATTATAAGATAATATTTCGTATTTTTCAATAAATGTTTTTATATAATATGTGTAATAGATATAACAAAATCTTATATGTATGGATGTACAATATGTACGACATTGATAAGCGTTTTTACAATAATAAAACTTCATTATTTTATTTCGTAACTTTTATCAACAATTCGCAAGTCAAAATCGATTTTTTCCTTTTGATTTTTAATTCTTATCATATTTGACTTGTTTATCGATTCACGCACGCAAGGACGAATCTTCTGTCAAGGACTTCTGTTTAATCGATATCCAGATTATCAGATGCGAAGCAATTTATTTGAATGCAATTTAAATTGTTATAAATATATTTATGAAAAGTATCATTTAAATTTTTAAATACTACTTGAATATGATTAGTAGTTGATCAAAATAATTAAAAAAATAAATTTGTAAAGTTATATACATATATGAACTTATACAAAAAAATTTATATCGGTTCGGTATTATAATATATAATATATAAAATAATTTAACATAAGTATAATAGAATATCTTTTATATTTTCAAATATTTATAATATATGACATATCATATGTACTATATACAAAGAATTTATGTATTTATATACAAACTACCAAGAAAGAATAAATTAAGTTACATGTAATAAAGATGTCAAACATTTTAAAATGTAAATATAGATTGTTAAAATACTCATTAGAAAATAAGTTATAAATTCATTTCTGAAAGCTTCAATCCACAGGGATTACTGCGCAGGATACTGCCGTTTCATGTGCGTATAAACGATTTGACAGATATTGTCGCATGTCATAGCAATTGTATATTCTTTTTCATACAAAAATGATAATTGTCAATCGAAAAATGCCATGGTTACATTACGCCTAACAAAGCTTTTTAATTATCTTGTGTCACTATAAGAGATTACAATTATTCGCAGTTTTGAAATTAAATTCATCGAGTGAACATCGATCGTGAAGAGTTCATATCGCTTTACTCACGTGTAACACAAAAAGCACAAAGATTACATTTAGAAAAGAAGCTGGCTCCACTGCATTCATATTAATACCAAAATGTATTGATAACTATATAGACTAATAATTTATAGATTGCTGTCTACAATTTGGTTTCTTGTTTTTTCATGACTTCATTAAACATGGTGAATTTATCAACGAATTTCCGTGAAGAACCTAAAAACAAACGGAAAAAGGGAGAATGGCGATTGTTTAACGCCAAGGACTTTCAATCCCTGATGTATCCTTGCTTCACTTTATGTCGTATTCTTGGAATACGTCCATATAAGAGCAATGCTTCGACCTTCGAAGTTTCAAAACTGTACTACATTCTGTGGATTGTCGTTATTTGCTTTTATAGTATTTACGAATTGACAATTATGTATAATATATCTATCTCAGACATCCATATAAACGATTTCCCTTCGTATCTTGTTATGTACTGCGCCTTAGTATTTGGCGTCTTTATAATGATCATTTCGATAATTCTAACTGGTCCGCGAACACGCTTGTTCCAGACTATATTAAAGATTTCTTCAAGATTACCATCGGAATCATATCAGAAGCTATCTAGATTAATTCACGCTAAGGACATCATCGGTTTTCTTTTAGTTGGGATCATATTGTTATATACTTCCAGGCTGCAAATAATGATCTTATTTCCAAACTATATTCATCTAATTACATATCAGATGGATATGTTGTATATGAATTGCGTTTGTGTATTAAAAGCGTGTTTTAAAGGAATCAATGACAATCTGGCAAATATGCAAACATTCATAGCTACAAACAATGAATCACATTTTCTTAGACCGATCTATTACAAGCAGAGAAATCTACTGCTGGTCATGGAACTCAAGATCCTGAAAAAACAACATCTAACGATCAGCGATGCAGTAAAAATGTTGAACATGATCTTTAGTTTGCAGCTTCTTGCTACAATAGGCATGACTTTTTCTCATATCTCTTTGTTTTTATATAACTACATACTATTGTGGGAATTGCCAACGGACACTTTAACGAAATCACTTCATATGTGTTTTCTATTATACATGGCACACTTTTTTGTAAAAATTGTATTGATAGTGTGGGCCTGCGAGACGTGTAAAAATCAAGCTCAACAGATCAGTACTTCCATTTATGATGCATTTAACAGCACTACCGATGAGCAAGTAAAAGATGAGGTAGTATAATAAAATGCTGAAATTTTATATCACTTTTATGTTGTCTCAATATGCCTCATACAACAAAACATTTTTGATATCATATCTGCTAGATTTTTCAATTCTAAACTTCACTATTTTACGATTGCAGTTACAATTATTTTCCTTGCAAATACTTCATTGTAATAATACATTTTCCGCGAAAGGTGTCACTATAGACGCGAAATTTCTCGCTCGGGTGAGTGAATTGTCGCATTTTTTATTAATTATATAATAACTTATTTTAAAAATTAGTAACTTTTATAAGATGTATAAATTATTTTTTCAACCTTTCTTTTAGATAATCGGTAGCATTGCCACGTACGTGATGATAATGCTTCAATTCAAGTTTACTTCATGCAAAAAAAGAGATGGAAGTAAATAATATTATGAAAGTAAATCTATAACTATAAGAAGAAATATTAAACAAACAAATGTGTTATTAAAAACTTGGTTATTATACAATAAATTATTTTTCATGTAAATAATCTTGACGTTGTATATTTGCATTTAAATACATGTAAATACATACCTATATATGCACAGAATGGAAATATTTTGAAAATCTTATTCCAAGCTATATAACATTGAATTAGATTGTAAAGTTTAAATACATACATAATGAATGTATAATATCATACATAACAAATTAATACCACAAATATAAGTCTATAAATTACATTCTGTACAATAAATATATTATATAATAATTTTTCGACTATTGGTCCTTATTTTCATAATCAATGAAAATTAAATATTAATAAATAAATATTAATACATCCGTATAGCTTACAATATTATTTATTCTACATACGTAAAGATAAACTATAATTTAAAATCCCGTCTCAGAAAACATATTATTCATTTTGTCATTTCATATAAATTCATATCTGTTTTAATATAATTATTTTCATAACTATAAGAGTATAGAGTATTATTCATAAAGTTGTAATATAATCATACATATTAAAGTTCATTTAACAAATTATGTCAATTTTTTTCAATTAGTTCAAATATTTTGGAAGAGATATTGCATTCCATTACTATTATTTATCAACGGTTAAATAAAATTTCTTGAAATATTATTACAGTGGTTTACTATTATCACATTATCACAATGATAATTCTCATTTCCTTTACTGACAGTGACATAAATATTGAATGACTTGGAATTTATATAACATGAAATTATACCTGCTAATAACGTATTAATTTCCGAATTATTTATGTAGACAAACGCAAATAAATTCATCCTAATCATAGGATATATACACAAAATATTTTTAAGCCTTTGCAAATTTTATTTTTTATAATTATTTTCCAATACCTTCAATAAATCCCTTTGTTATAATTTTTAACAAAACTTTAAAATTTGTTTCTATAGCATGCAATGAAAAATTATTTTTCAACTATTAGGTTTTTTGCAAAGCTAAATACGGTTCTTGTATTATAATTAGGTTTTTCAATACAACATTTGTTACACGTATACTGAAATAAAGATGCAACTGTTAATCTTCATATAAATAATATATTTTAATAGAACATTAAAATGTCCATTATTAATCAACCATTATTAATAGATGTTTTTAAAATAATTTAAAATTATTGATTCAAGTGGATAGCAAGTCTACACTTTGTACTCGTACAAACATATCATGTGCATATATAGGGTGTTTCAGAAATAATTGGCCAAACTTTAAGAGTATATTCCACTCATTGTAAGGATGAAAAAAGTCATATAAACATGGGTTCAGAAACGCTTCCTTTCCTAGTTATAAACATTTCTTATTTGTTTGTATGTATTTACGTCGGACGACATGCCTCGCTTCGATGTTTCATGAATTGTACTTCTATTCACCTTCTAAAGTAAACAAAAAGTTATTAGATAGGTCTGTATGGAATTGAAATCAGTCTTTATTTAAGAATTTAGGAGTGAAGATAGTATTCATCAGCATGGCAGCTTATTCTAACATCGAATTGACAGATATCTATTGTCTACATGTATGGGCGAGCAAATGAAAACTGCAAAGAAGCTCAACGTCGCTATCAACAAATCTTTCCCCAAAGACGATCATTTCCATCAATTTCTGTAATGAAAAAATAGATATAAATAAATAATAAATGTTTATAACTTGGAAAGGATTCGTTTCCGAATTCATGTTTATATGACTTTTTTTCATCCTTACAATGAGTGGAATATGCTCTTAAAGTTTGGCCAACCATTTCTGAAACACCATGTATAATTTAAGTGTGCTATAACACTCACTCCGCAATTACTGCAATCCATCTTCGGAGATATAATTTCTGATATCGAAGAACACCATTACTTTAGGACTAACAAAAGAATTCCATTAGCTATGTCTTTCTACATAACGCAGGATTTGATCGCAGTATTAAACTTAAATTCGTCGAGATGGTACGTAGAGACTAAATCAGTTTACATAATTGTTATGAAGATACAAACTTGAAGATTACATTTAGAAAAGAAAATTTAGTAAATATGTTAATTTTGTTAAAGTGTATATAATAATAGGCTGCAGTTTACGATATTGACTGTTATTCTCTATAAATTTTTGCCAATCATATTCAAAAATCCGACCATACATCAAGAGCAAAATGTGGAAAAGTCAACGATTGTTTCGCGCCATAGACTTTCAATCCTTAATGTATCCCTGTTTCACCATTTGCCGCATTCTTGGAATGTTTCCATACAAGATGAATACTCCGAACTTCAAATTTTCAAAACCATACTACATCATGTCAACTATGGTTGTCTGTGTTTGCTTCTTAAATTAACACTTGTTTATAGTACTATGATCTCTATTTCAACACAAAATTTTGAAGGAATAATCACAGGAATTTCACATATCATTTATTTAGTGTTAAACAATTTTATAGTAATCGTCACGATTACGAACGTCTTAAGGGGTTCGCAAATGCGCTTGCTACAGACTATGTCAGAAATCTCTCAGGAACTATCCTCGGAGTCATACCAGAAAATGTCCAGATTAATACACGCCAAAGACATTTTCAGTGTAATCTTCTTAATCATACAAACATGCAGATTTATTTATAACAAACAACTATTTCAATTGGACTATTTCACCATGTTCACAGGAGTGTTCTTATTGTATCTCTATATGCTGACATTTGAGATAATTATGTTGTACATAAATTGTGTTTGTGTATTAAAAGCTTGTTTCAAAAATATTAATGACAATCTGGCATACATGCAGAGACTAGTGGAAAATGATATAAAATCGTGTATTCCTAGGTTGATCTGTCACATACAAAAAAATCAAACTTTGCTATTAAAACTTAAGGTCCTAAAGATGTGGCATCTAAGGGTTAACGACACAGTGCAAATGCTGAACACAATCTTCGGTTTGCAACTTCTTGCTACTATAGTTACATTCTTTATTAATATTACTTTAGATATTTACTCTGAAGTAGTGCACTGGCAAAATGGAGTATTCCTTAGTTTCGATGTGCATTTTCATAACATATTTTCATCGTCAATAGCATATTATGTTGTAAAAATGATGCTACTTGTGTGGGTCTGTGAGACTGGCAAAAATCAAGCTCAAGAAATCAGCACCACAGTTCACGATTTACTTAACAATATCAAGGATGAGCAGATAAAAAACGAGGTAAATATGTAAGAAGGAGATTGTTTCAATATGTTATATACTTTTTATGCAGACACGGTTTTACAAAATTTATTGAAGTATAATTGTAATTAATTCTAATTCTAATTTAATTTCTTTGTTTTTATATATCACTATTTTGCGACTTTACGTTACAGTTGTCGCTGTTTTCTTTACAAATATTACATTGTAAAAATATATATTCGGTGAAAGGTTTGACTATAGATGCGACGCTTCTTGCAGCAGTAAGTAATCAATTATTTCTTATGAACGTTACAAAATATAAATTTTAGTTTTACTTTTAGATAGTGGGGAATATTACCACGTATTTACTAATCTTGATACAATTTTTAAACATGTCGCATTCTTGCGATAGAAAAACTGCGGTCAATATTATACGATCCAATTAAAAGGATTATACATAAAGCGAGATAATATTTCTAAATACAATATATAAAACACTATATTTTATCTTTGATAATAAAGTAAATTATACAATGTTTTATATTTTTATAGACCTTTTTCATTTATGTAATCAATTCAGCTTATAAATAGATATACAATATATAACAGTAGTCATAGTTTTACATAAAAAAAGTTGTTTTAAAAATGATTAAATTTTATTACATTTAAGATTAAAAATTATATCGGCACGCCGTTTGCAGAATTGGGTAATATGGATATACAATTCACACCGAAATATTTAAGCACTAAGGTTCCAACACATACAAAATACTCTGTTTTGTCATTGTTAATAAAATATAATACGCAATGACTTATATTTTCATAGAGATTTTTCGTCAATAATATATTATGTTTGTATATGTAATTGATTCAATAACTTCAAAATATGGATACACAATATGTAATAACCTTTTTAGTAAAAATTAGAATCTATTGCAAATTGACCATAATTAATAGGTGATATTTTAAAATTATAATTTATGTGGATATTGCAGTGTTTATGTTTCCTATGAGCACATATAACGATAGAAGGGCTTAATGTAATGGTGAGCTAATCGACATTAAAATAAAACGTTTGAGACAAATAGTAGGTCCTGCCATTCGCACATTTCCAGTAGACGTTCGATTGTGGGTTAGACTATTATTGCAACAAGCTTTTTAGTTTATTGAGTTATATGTTATAAGAATTATATATAATTTGTATTAATCCATCCCAAGAGTGATAAGTGTCGATCGAAGAACGCCATGGTTACTTTACGACTAACAAATGGTTTCTTTAGTTTTGTTTCTGTGCTGTACGCAGTATTTGCACGCAGTTTCAAACTTAAATTCATTGAGTATAGATAAGACGCATAAAATCACATCAGTTCATAGATTTCTTATGAAAAGACCGACTTAAAAATTACACTTAGAAAAAGAAATGTTCGCAATCACATCTAGTTACAATATATATGATTAATAATGTATATCTGATACAAATTGTTGCTGTTCTATAAATTCTTCTAATCGTGTTCGATTCGAAAGGATAATCGAAAAAATCAAAATGTGGAAAAGATGGTGGCTGTGTAACGCAACGGACTTTCAATCTTTAATGTATCCCTGTTTCATTTGGAGTCGCATTATCGGACAATTTCCGTACAAGCTCAATGCTTCGATTTTCGAGGCTTGGAAACGGTATTACATTCTATCAACCATCCTTATCTGCGTTTGCTGTGTTATAAACTTCGTACTTATTGACAGTATTATTAAATCAAAACTAAGTTATGGAAATGTCATTTGGAATATTCACGCTGTTGTATACTATATTCTCACCAGTTTTATAATGATCATTACGCATTTTCTGAGTGGTCCGCGAATGCGCTTGCTACAGACAATAATGGAGGTTTCTTCGAAATTACCTTCGAAATCATACCAAAAACTGTCCAGATTGATCCATGTTAAGGATATATTGGGTAATATCATCAGAATTGTACAATTTAGCGTAAATTTGTTTAAAATACTGGAGTTTGAAGGCAATTTTGTCATTATTCTGATTGGGATACCTACACTATACTCTACCATGTTGGTGCAACAAATAATTATGTTGTATATAAACTGCGTTTGTATATTAAAAGCATGTTTTAAGAGAATCAATGACAATCTGGTGCACATGCAAAAGTTTGTAATAAAAGATATGAAGCCACGTGTCTCCAATATAATACGGCATACGCAGAGAAATGAATTTTTGCTAACAGAACTTGGAATTTTGAAGAAGCAACATCTAATGATAAGTGACGCAGTGCAAATACTGAATATGGTTTTCAGTCTGCCACTCCTTGGTAATATAGTCTTGTCCATTTTCACTGTCACCTTTAGGTTGTATCTCCATGCAGTGCGTTGGCAAAATGGAGTGTTTATTGGATTGGATTGGCACTATGTTGATGTGCTTCTAACAACCATGATATATAACGTTTTAAAAATAATACTAATTGTGTGGGCTTGCGAGACGGGTAAAAATCAAGCCCAAAAAATCGGTACTACCGTTCACGATTTACTTAATAGTACCAATGATGAGAAAATTAAATACGAGGTAATAACATTATAAACGTTATCGATGTTTTTTAGAAATTATGTCGTATACTAACGTATCTTTTTAAACATCAAATTTACTGAGGTATATAGCTGAGTTTTTCAATTTCATGTTTACTTTCTTGAATTTAATTATTTTTTTCTAACATTTAACTATCATAATTTTCTGACATTGCAGTTGCAACTGTTTTCTTTACAAATATTACATCGTAAAAATACATTTTCGTTGAAAGGTTTGACAGTAGATGCGACGCTTCTTGCAGCAGTGAGTAATTAATTATTTGTTACAAATATTAAAATATATAAATTTTTATTTTACTTTTAGATAGTGGGGAATATTACCATGTACTTACTAATCTTGATACAATTCTTGAACATATCGTATTCTTGCGACAGAAAAACAGCTGTCAATGTTACATAATCTAGTTAGAAGTATATATAAAGTGAGATAAAAATGCTTTTAAATATATAAAAAAAATATTTCATCATTGTTGATATAATATAATATGCAATGTCTTATATTTTTGTAAAGATTTTTCGTTAATAATGTGTTATGTTCGTATAAGTAATAGATTCAAAAATTTTTCAATAGATAGATCTATATCACGCAATAGTACAGTTTAGTAAAAATTTAGGATCCTATTATAAACTGATTAGTATTAATGGACGATATCTTAAAGTTATGATTTATGTGGATATCGCAGTGTCTATGAGCACATATAATGACTGAAGGACTTATTGTAACAGTGTGTGTGTGAGCTAACCCATATTAAAAAAAAACCTTTGAGAGAAATAGTAGGTCCTGCCATTCGCACATTTCCAGTATCATACGTTCGATTGTCGGTTAGACCATTATTGTAACAAGCCTTTCAGTTTATTGAGTCATATGTTATAAGAATTATATATAATTTGTATTAATCCATCCCAAGAGTGATAAGTGCCGATCGAAGAACGCCATGGTTACTTCACGACTAATAAATAGTTTTTTTAGTTTTGTTTCTTTGCACGCAGCATTTGTTCGCAGTTCCAAACTTAAATCACTTAGAAAAAAAAACTCGCAATCGCATCTATTTTAAGATAAAGTGCATATGATTAATAATGCTGTACATCTGATATAAACTGTTATGTTCTATAAATTTTTCTAATCGTGTTCGATTTAAAAGACCAAGTATAATCGTGAAACTCAAAATGCGAAAAAGACGGTGCTTGTGTAACGCAACGGATTTTCCATCGTTAATGTATCCCTGTTTCATCTGAAGTCGCATTCTCGGACTATTTCCTATACAAATTCCTATAAAAATTCAACGCTTCGACTTTCGAGCTTTCGAGATTTCAAGCTATTGGTTCTCGAGATATCGTGTCAACTGTTTGGTCATTTCATTTTTTCAACGCTGCGCCTCTCAACTAATTTCTTGGAATTTTGGAATGAAAATATTACTGTAAACATTTTTTTCATATATTGACATGTGTATTAATAAATATGTCAAAAATTAGAACCGTGTGTCTTATAGTTTTCTTTAAAAAAAATTCTAAAAAAGGCCTTATTTTTAGTGTGATTTCACCAGAATTTAAAAAAAATTTTTTATTTAGGTTGTCAATTCAATTTATAAGTGATATACAGTATATAATAATACGTAATAGTTACGTGAATAAACTTTTATTGTGTTTAAGACTAAATTATTTCGGCACAGTTTGCACAATTGGATATGTAGGTATATAAAATTCATACTCAAATATTTAAGCACTAATTGTTAAGATCCAACTAGTACTGTGTAAACTTTTGTTACATACAAGGAGAATTTTTCAAATGTATAATATTTCACGAATTTTCATCAACTTTTGCGTGGTTATTTTGGGGCTCAAAAAGTAATCCCTGTAAAGCAGTAGATTACACTTTCGCGTAGTTTTTCAAGAAAATCGTGAGGTAACGACGATGGATTGTTTAATTTTATAATTTTTAATTAGAAACTTTAAAATTTGTTTCCGTAGTATATTTAATGAAAAATTATAAAATCATTCTTCAACTATTTGGCTTTTCGCAAAGTTAAATACGACTTTTTTATTATAATTCCGTTTTTCAATACAACATTTGTTACACATATACTGAAATAAAGATGCCACAGTTTCTATTTATATAAATAATGTATTTTAATAGAATTAATGTTCATTATTAATGAACCATTATTAATGGATGTCTTTAAATTATTGATTCAAGTGGATATGACAAGTCTATAATTTGTACTCATACAAATATGTCATGTGCATATATAATTTAAATACGTTATAATACTTACGTAGCGTTTGCTGCAATCCATCTTCGGAGATATAATTACTGATATTGAAGAACGCCATGGTTATTTCAGAACTGACAAATGATTCCTTTAGCTATGCCTTTCTACATGACGCAGTGTTTGAGCTCAGTTTTAAACTTAAATTCGTCGAGATAGTACGTAGAGACTGAATCAGTTACGTGTTGAACAAACAAACTTGAAGATTACATTTAGAAAAGAAACTTTAGAGTAATCATGTTTATATTGTTAAAGTGTATATAATATAGGCTGTAGTTCATGATATAGACTGTTATTCTCTAATAAATTTTTGTCAATCATATTCGGAAATCCGACGGTACATCAAGAGCAAAATGTGGAAAAGTCAACGGTTCTTTCACGCCATGGACTTCCAATCTTTAATGTATCCCTGTTTCACTATTTGGCGCATTCTTGGAATGTTTCCATACAAGATGAATGCTCCGACCTTCAAATTTTCAAAACCATACTACATCATGTCATCAACTATGGTGGTCTGTGTTTGCTGTGCTCTTAAGTTAACACTCGTTTATAGTACTATGATCTCTTTTTCAACACAAAATTTTGAAGGAATAATCACAGGAATTTCACATATCATTTATTTAGTGTTAAACAATTTTATAGTAATCGTCACGATTACGAACGTCTTAAGGGGTTCGCAAATGCGCTTGCTACAGACTATGTCAGAAATCTCTCAGGAACTATCCTCGGAGTCATACCAGAAAATGTCCAGATTAATCCACGCCAAAGATATTTTCGGTACAACCTACTTTATCCTACAAGAATGCATATATCTTTATAATAGAGAAATAGTTCAACTGAACTACTATTTCACCATCTTGATTGGAGTGTCCTCATTCTATCTCTATATACTGACATTTGAGATAATTATGTTGTATATAAATTGTGTTTGTGTATTAAAAGCCTGTTTCAAAAGTATTAATGACAATTTGGCTCACATGCAGAGATTAGTGGTAAATGATATAAAATCGTGTGTTCCCGGATTGATTTGTCACATACAAAAAGATCAAATTTTATTATTAAAACTTAAGGCCCTAAAGAAGTGGCATTTGAGGGCTAGTGACACAGTGCAAAAGCTGAACACAGTCTTCGGTTTGCAACTCCTTGCTACTATAGTTACATCCTTTACTAATGTCACTTTTGATATTTACTCTGATGTAGTGCGCTGGCATGATGGAATATTCGTTAGTTTTGATATGCATTTTCCTCACATGTTTTCATCACCAATAGCATATTATGTTGTAAAAATGACGCTACTTGTGTGGGCCTGTGAGACTGGCAAGAATCAAGCGCAAGAGATCAGCACTACAGTTCACGATCTACTTCACAATATCAATGATGAGCAGATAAAGAACGAGGTAAAATGAGAAAAGGAGATTGTTTTATTTATATATTATTCATTTTTTATACCGACAAGATTTTATTAAATTTATTGAAGTATAACTGTAATTAATTATAATTTTAATTTAATTTCTTTATTCTTATATTTAATTATTTTGCGACTTAACGTTACAGTTGCAGCTGTTTTCTTTGCAAATATTACATCACAAAAATACATTTTTGGCGAAAGGTTTTACTATAGATGCGGCGCTTCTTACAGCAGTAAGTAATCATTTATTATTTTAATTATTATACATCTATTTAACCGTTTAATTTTATTTATTTACACCTTTTAATGTTTAGATAATAGGTAAAATTACCACATACCTAATAATCATGCTACAATTTTTAAACATGTCGCATTCTTGCGACAGAAAAACAGCAGTCAATGTTATTCAATCTAATTACAAACATACATAAAGTGAGGTAAAAGTGTTTTTAAATATATAATATACTGTATTGTTATTGTTAATAAAATATAATATGCCATGTCTTATATTTTTATAGAGATTTTTCGTTAGTAACGTATTATGTTCGTACATTTAATTGATTAAAAAATAATAAGAATCTTATTAAACTGTATGTGGATAGACAATCAGTAAAAAAATAAGAGTTAAAGGCTTATAATGATCGAAACTTGATCTTTGATGTTTAAACAATTCAATGTGGAATATATGTGTGTGTGTATATATATATATATACTCTATATGTACGTACGCATATACACATAATTGTAGTCACTTTCGAATTGCGCGCCGAAAAGTTTGTCGGACTTAAAAACGCAACTAAACTACTGAAATAATATCATAATTAAATTTTGATGCTTGAAAGGATCTATTAAAGACATCTTAATATGTTGGAAATGATTGTTTCAAAGACTTCAATAGGTGGATCCACAGTATGTAAGTCATTTTAATAAAAATTGCAGTATCTATATTCTACATGAGCACGTATAATGATTGAACGGCTTATTGTAACAGTGAACTAATCCACCTGTAACAGTAACTAATCCACCTTTAAAAAAAGAACCTTTGAGACAAGTAATAAGGCCTGCCATTCGTATATTTCCAGTAACGCACGTTCAGTAGTGGATTAGCCCATTATTGCAATAAGCCTGTTAGTTTATTGAGTCATAAGTTGTAAGAATTACATATCATTTGTATTAATCTATCCCAATAGTGGTAAGTGCCGATCGAAAACGCCATGGTTACTTCATGGCTAACAAATGGTTTCTTTAGTTTTATTTTTTTGCTGCATGCAATATTTGCCCGCAGTTCCAAACTTAAATTCATTGAGTATAGATAAGAAATCATATCAGTACATTCTTTTTATGAAGACACCAAGTTAAAACTTATACTTAAAGAAAAAAAACATTCGCAATCGCATCTATTTTAATACTAAAGTGCATATATATGATTAATAATGCTGTATGATACAAACTGTTATGTTCTCCTATAAATTTTTCTAATTATGTTCGATTCATAATGTCAAGGATAATCGCGAAAATCAAAATGCGGAAAAGATGGTGGTTGTGTTACGCAACGGACTTTCATTCCTTATATACCCCTGTTTCATCTGTAGTCGCATTCTGGGAATATTTCCGTACAAGTTCAACGTTTCGACTTTCGAGGTTTCGAAACCATATTATATCCTGTCAATCATCGTTATCTGCGTTTGTTGTGTTATAAATTTTGCACTAATTGACAATATTATTGAATCAAAACTAAATTATAGAAATTATGGAAATATTTGAACTATTCACGCTGTTATATACTATATTCTCACCAGTTTTATAATGATTATCACGCATTTCCTGAGTGATCCGCGAATGCGCTTGCTACAGACAATATTGGAGGTCTCTTCGAAATTACCCTTAAAATCGTACCAAAAACTGTCCAGATTGATCCACGTTAAGGATATATTGGGTAACATCATTAGAGTTGTGCAATTAAGCATACATTTGTCTAAAGTACTGGAGTTAGAAGACAATTTTTTCGCTATCCTAATGGGGGTACCTACAATATACTTTGGCCTGTTGGTATTACAAATAATTATGTTGTATATAAACTGCGTTTGTATATTAAAAGCTTGTTTTAAAAGAATCGATGACAATCTGATCCACATGCAAAAGATTGGAACAAATGATATGAAGCCACATATCTCCAATGTGATATGGCACACGCAGAGAAATTAATTTTTACTGATAGAACTCAGAATTTTGAAAAAGCAACATGTAATGATCAGCAACGCAATACAAATGCTGAATATGATCTACAGTCTGCAACTCCTTGCTATCGTAGTTCTGTCCTTTTTAATTGTCACCTTTGAGTTGTATTTCTATGCAGTGCATTGGCAAAATGGAGTTCTTATTGGACTGGATTGGCACTTTCTTGATGTGCTCGTAACATCATTGATATATAACGTTTTTCAAATAATACTAATTGTGTGGGCCTGCGAAACTAGTAAAAATCAAGTCCAAAAGATCGGTACAACCATTCACGATTTACTTAATAGTACCAATGATGAGAAAATCAAATATGAGGTAGTAACTTTATAAAGTTATATATATTTTTTTTTGTAATTATGTTGATGCTAACTCAATCTTTTTATACATCAAATCTATTGAAATATATAGTTGCATTTTTTAATTTCATGTTTTCATCCTTGTATTTAATTATTATGCTTTTTAACATTGCAGTTGCAACTGTTTTCTTTACAAATATTGCACCATAAAAATACATTTTCCGTGAAAGATTTCACTATAGATGCGACGCTTCTTGCAGCAGTAAGTAATCAATTATTTGTTATATTAGAATATATTATGTACATTTTTTGTTTTATTTTTAGATAATGGGGAATATTACCACGTATTTACTAATCTTGATACAATTTGTAAACATTTCGCATCGTGCAATAAAAGAACAGCGGTCAATATTTATACAGAATCTAATTAAAAGAATACATAAAATAGGATAAAAATGTTTTTAAATGTTCAAAATACTGTGTTTTATGTTTGTTCCTAAATTATAATTATACATTTTTTATATTTTTATAGAAGTTTTTCATTTATGTGATTAGTTCAACTTATAAATGGATATATAGGATGTAACTGAAATAATAATTGAAATAACGTCCACTAATCACACAGTGCTATTCTTAATAAAAAATTAAGTCGAAAAGTCCTCTACCATTTTCGCAATAGTTAATGAGATATTAATTTCTAAATATTGCCGAATAAATGGATGAAATCGATGTATAAGACAATTTTAAGATATCTTTCCGTGTTCTTTGTGAAATATTTTGAAGATTTTTCTTAAAGAACTCTTAAAGATGTGTTAAAGCTGTTTTATGTGTCGATTTTAGACATTTTGCTCATTAGATAACTAAAAAAAATATTGCGTAGATTGCAAAATGGTAGAGAACTTTTCGTCTCAGTTTTTTTATTAGGAATGGCACTATATGATTAGTGGGCGTTATTTCAGTTATATCCTTTATAGTATACTTATAATAGTATGTAATAATTTTATGTAAATACAATTTTATTATTTTTTTTGTTTGATATCTTCTTCTAATTTTAGGAAAATAATTAAAAAAATTTTAATAATGTGATTCTATAATTTTATATATTAATGCGTTTATATAAGAAAAAATAATTTATAAAAGAATTAATATTAAATATCAAAGTTATAATACAAAAATATTTGTACACTCTTAATGCGCAAAGAAAGAAAATATTACATTCTGAATTAAATAGTCATTAATGAATCTTTTGGGATTATTCGTGATAGGAATCATGCAAATATTGTTTCTAATGGTCTATGCTTCCTATTTCATACACTTTTACATAATTTGTTGAGTCATATGCTACATTTTTTAATGCAATGTGTTCCAAGAGATAAACGTCGATCGAAGAATGCTATGGTTACTTTACCACTAACAAATATTTTCAATAATTTTCTTCAGTATTGTATTTGACGCTACAGTTGCTTGTAGTTTTAAACTTAAACTCATCGAGGATAGATCGGATAAAAGTACAGTTTATACATTTATTATGAAGAAATGCAATTGATTAGAAAAGAAGCAATTACATTTCTATTAATATAGTGCATTGATTAATAATGGACTATCTATCACGATATAGACTGTTTCTCTCACAAATTTTTGTTACTCATGTTCAGTTCAAAAATACAAGGATACGCTAAGATGCGGAAAAAATGGCAACTGTTCCACGCTACGGACTTCCTATCTTTAATGCATCCCTGCTTCAGTTTCTGTCGTATTCTTGGAATATTTCCGTATAAGATCAACATTCTGACCTTCGAGGCATCAAAACCGTATTACATTATGTCGTCTGTGATTATTTGTATCTGCTGCATTTTAAATCTCGCATTGATTCACGATATTTTCATTTCTAAAGTAATGAACTTTGAAGATGTAATCGAAAGTTTGGAGACTTTGGCTTTCTACACGATCAGCGGTTTCGTTGTAAGCACCACGCATGTCTTGAGTGGTTCACGAATGCGCTTGCTACAAACCATTTTGGAAATCTCTTCGAAATTGCCTTCGGAATCATATCAGAAGTTATCCAGATTGATTCATGTCAAAGACATCTTGGGTAATATTTTGCTAATAGTGCAATCATCCATGTTTGTTTTTAACGTACAGACGTTTGAACTGACCTATTTAAATGTTCTGGATGTAATATTTATGATGTACTTGCAACTGATAATGTTTCAAATGACTATGTTGTATATAAATTGTCTTTGTGTATTAAAATCTTGTTTCAAAAGAATCAATGACAATTTAGTATACATGCAAAAGCTCCTGGTAAAAGATATAAAGCCACGTGTCTCCGGGATAATCTGGCACACGCAGAGAAATCAATTTTTATTGATAGAACTGAAGACCCTTAAAAAGCAGCATCTAATAATTAGCGAAACATTACAAATGATGAACATAACATTTAGCCCGCAACTTCTTGCTACTATAGTTATGTCTCTTATTGAAACCACTATTGAACTATACTTCTATGTAGTGCGCTGGAAAGATGGGGTATTCATTAGCTTAGAATGGCAGTTTTCTGGTATATTTTTAGCGACCACAGTATTTTATACTATGAAAATAACGCTACTTGTATGGGCTTGCGAAACCGGAAAGAATCAAGCTCAAAAGATCAGCACCACTATTCACGACGTACTTAATAGCACCAGCGACGAACAAATTAAAAATGAGGTAATAAAAACACAATTTTATTTAAATTTTTCTGGAAATGATAATATAATTTTTTTAATACTAAATCTATTTAAGTAAAATTGCACTTTTTAAAGTTGTTTTCTCCTTGCATTATTTTGTGATTTGACATTGCAGTTGCAGTTGTTTTCTTTACAAATTCTACATCGCAAGAATATATTTTCGATCAAAGCTTTCACTATGGATGCATCGCTTCTCACTGCAGTAAATAATCAATTATTTGTTTTAACTAATAAAATGTACATCTTTTATATGTTTTACTGTTTTCAGATGGTGAGCAGCATCACAACATATATGTTAATTATTATACAATTTTTTATCATGTCACATTCCTGTGATGAGAAATCTGTAATCTATACTACATGAGTAATTCAGATTATTTATAAAAGAGATACGAAATAAAACATTTTTATACTTATATAGAGATGATTTTATTATATTTATATACAATCGTTCATATATACATCTGTTCAATAAGAGCGTGACAGACACAATTTTCGACATATGTATGTATATGTCTTACATCGCGATCCAACAGATCAATAGTATTGGTTCATATAGCTTATTGCATTTGTTTAAGTAGAGTTAAAAGCCTTTTTTTGCAGCCGCTTCCTGCGATATTTTCTGCCGTTTCGGGTACATGCGAAGAGAAACATTTCAAATCATTTAGCGTACGCGGCACTCATCATTAAATATGTAGTTTTTTTAGAAAAAATCGAGTACTAACTAAAAAATTCTTTGTATAATACCTACGTCGCGTCGTAGAAGAAAAACCCTTTTATTTACGCGTTTCAAAAATTCTTTATATAAACACAACCTCTAGAAATAAATGCCTTAAACGGTCTAGCTAGATCTTAAATGCTTGTATGAGTCTGCGTTAATTTATAAACTATGTATATGATCCTTTAAAATGCGCGCCGAAATGATTTTTTGGTCTGGAAACGCAAACTCTACTAAACACAGTAATATCATGAGATAAATTGACTAGCAATTCAAAAATTTAATGCTTTTTCGCATCTTAGAATGATCTTAATCATATTGAGTGACATATTAAAACCTGTAAGTAATTAATTCTTATTGCGAGAAGTATTAGATTATGGAGGCCGTAGTAATATTCTTCGCAATAATTGGAATATGAATAATTGGCATAAACTCTTTATATAAATATTGTAAGAGTGAGAAATGACGATCGAAGAACGCCATGGTTACTTCCTTACTAACAAAGGCTTCTTCAGCTTTGTCTCTTTGCTACACGTAGAATTTACTGGCAGTTTTAAATTAAAACTCAACGAGTGTATATATAAAATGAAGAATCCACATCATAGTTAATACAATCATTGCAGAGAGAGAGAGAGAGACGAACTTAAGTATTACATTTAGCCAAAAAGCTATTATGTCGGTGTTAATTCTAATAACTCAGTGTATTAATACAGTGTATTGACTAATATTTAAGATATAGATTGTGATACAGAGACTGTTACTCTCCTAAAATTTCTATTAATTGTGTTCAGTTCAAAAATTCAAAGGGAATATGAAAAAAAAATGGCAGCTGTTGCACGCCACGGATTTTCAATCATTAATGTATCCTTGTTTCTTTTATTGTGGTATTCTTGGAATATTTCCATACAAGATCAATACTTCGAATTTCGAAGTTTCAAAACCACGCTGTATTTTGTCGATTGTGATTATCTGCGTTTCCCTCGTTTTATGCCTGTTGGTCAACCACGGTATTATAATTTCTAAAATAATTACCTTTGGAAACATAATTAGAAACCTTCAGGCTGTCTGTTTCTTTACATTGAGTGGTTTGATAACGATATTGACGCACATTTTAAGTAATCCACGAATGCGCTTACTACAGAAAATTTGGGAAATCTCTTCAAAACTTTTACCGTCAGAAACATATCAGAAGTTATCCAGATTGATCCATACCAAGGACGTCTTGAGTGTCATCTTGACAGTAGCGCAAGAATATATGTATTTCTCTAAAATTCGATTACTTGAAACAAATCATTGGATTGTTAACTGCCTAATCACAGCATTTATAACATATTTGCTTCAGCTGGAGTTTCATATCAATATGTTGTATGTAAATTGTGTTTGTGTATTAAAAGCCTGTTTCAAAAAAATCAACGACGATCTGAATTACATGCAGAGACTTATGACAAACGACATGAAATCATCTGTTCCTAGTTTAATTTGCTCAACGCAGAGAAATCAAATTTTTTTAATAGAACTGAAAACTTTGATGAAACAACATCTAATGATTAACGAAATTGTGCGACTGCTAAATATAATCTTCAGCTTACAACTTCTTGCAACTGTAATCGTGACCTTTGTTGAAATTACTTGTGAATTGTATCATTACATAGTGCACTGGCAAGGCGAGGTAATCATTACTTTTGATCGGAATTTTCTTGATACGTTTTTAACATCCATGACGCATTATGTTATGAAAGTAATTCTAATTGTATGGGCCTGCGAGACCGGCAAGAATCAAACCCGAGAGATCGGCATTACCATTTACGATGTACTTAATAGCACAAGAGATAAGCAAATCAAAGGCGAGGTAATTTTTTTAAATATATGTAATGTTTATTAACACTATATTTTGTAACTATTAAATCTACTAAAATTCTGTTTGGTAACACTATCTTATTCGTTCTTGTATTTAATTGTTTTGCAACTGTTGCAGTTGCAACTCTTTTCTTTACAAATATTGCATTGCAAAAATACATTTTTGACGAAAGGTCTCGCTATGGACGCGACACTTCTCGCAGCAGTAAGTATTCAATTTGTTGCTTTAATTAATAAAAGATATATCGTTTATATTTTAAATTATTGTTTTTCAGATGGTGGGTGGCATCACGACATACATGTTAATTTTGATACAATTTCTAATTGCGGCACATTCTTGTGATGAGAAATCTGGAATTAATATTACAAATAATTCAGTTATATAAAATGAGATATACATATAATACAAAAGAGACTTTTTTATATTTACGTACAATCGTATATACACATATGCATACATATATTTAAATAAAATGTTCTACTATATCTATATTAATACTAAGGTAAATATAAATCGCTATTGCATCTTTTGACTTTTGTTGAACTATAAGGAGGGATTGACGTGCAGTAACATGTAGTTTATGGATTACAACAAACATGTAGCTCAAAAGATAAGCACCACTACGCGACGTACTTAATAGCACCAACGACGAACAAATTAAAAATGAGATAATAAAAACACAATTTTATTTAATTTTTTCTAAAAATGATACATAATTTTTAAAATATTACATCTACTTAAGTATAACTGTACTTTTCAATTTTGTTCCTTGCATTATTTTGCGATTTGAGGTTGCAGTTGCAATTGTTTTCTTAAGAAATTCTTTCTTCACACCATGGCCCAACGGATCAATAGCATTGGATCATATCGCTTTGCACTTGTTTATAAACGCCTTTTTTTGCAGTCACTTCCTGCGGAAATTTCCGCCGTTTCAGGTACGGTCAGAGCTAAAAGGGTTGTAACACTTTTTTTTTCGATGGGTTTCGGAATGCAGCTTGCTCACCGAGCGATTGGTTCTTATTCATGAATCGTCTTGCATAATATGTAATTTATAAAATATCAACAATTAAACAACATATAAAATATCGATAAATCTGTCAACAATTCCATTATCGAAAATATTTTTTTAATAATATATAATAAGATTAATTCTAATCAATATAATAGCATTGTTATTGCATTGTCCCCAATATATGTATTAATAATTATTTTATTCACCTTATACTTTTCGTATTACTATTAATATTGTTCAAAACATAAGTCTTCAAACATACAATTAAAAAATAAGTTTAATTTAATACATTTTAATAAATTGCTCAAATTAACTTCTAATTACGTTTAACTGTACAATAAGCGTAAAATAAATGAAAATTATATTAAAAGATGTAAACAGCAAACAATATTAAATCACCATTTTGTAGTACAAAAATATCTTCAAAATTATACTTTAAAATAATCTATTACGTATGTATTGTGTACAATATGGAAAATAAAATTAATTATCGGTTTTTTATAATTATTATTAATGCATCTAGTAATTTAAATACTATTTGATCTACGCAAATATTGTGCACTTTCTACTTTGTGTATACAACGGTTGATATGTTATTGACGTACTGAAACAATTACATATAATTATAATATATACAATGCTATATTCTAAGAGTGATAAACGGCGACTGAAAAATGTTATTATTTACTTCAAAATTAACGAATAATCTCTGAGATGTGTCTTCCTACTCCATATTTTAATTCATCATATTGTGTAATATTATAATATCTTAAAGAGAGTTATTGATTCATACGTTTTGATATCACACATTATGATTTCGAATTATTATATGTTAAATTATTATTGAAGAAGAACCTGTAATATCGAAACATTAATTCTTGTTTTTGATGTTTATAATAAATATACTAAAATTTATTTATAATTTCCGTTTTGAGCTTGATCGTCGATCGTTTTTTTATAGTTTTGTTTGGATCTTACACATTTTATGTGTAATATTGTATTTTATATGTATGTACACATATAATTTGCGAGTCACGTAATGTAACAATTTTGCGGAATCCTTTTTCTATTCCATTTCAAAATTAAGAAGTGCCGATCGAAAAACGCCATGGTTACTTCACTACTAACAAACGGTTTCTTCAATTTTATCTCTCTGCTATACGCAGCACGTTTGCAGTTTTTATTTGAAACTCATCGAGTTTAGGTAACACGTGGATCAGTTTACATATCTGTTACGAACAAATTGATTTGAAGATTACATTAAAAATAGAAACTTTCGAAACTTTATTTATATTAACTCTGAAATATATTGATGAATAACATTTGATTAGAGATTGTTATTTTCCCAAGAATTTTTAATAATCGCGTTCAATTCGACAATTCAAAGATATATCAAAGAAAAAAAATTTGGAAACGATATTGGCTGTTCCACGCCACGGACTTTCAATCTTTAATGTATCCCTGTTTCACTTTTTGCCGTATTCTTGGAATATTTCCGTATAAGATCAACGCTTCGACTTTTAAAATTTCAAAACGGTACTTCATCCTGTTAACCATGATTATCTGCGCTTGCAGCATTTCTGATCTACTAATCATTCACGACTGTATTTTTAAATCTAATCATATTAGGCATCTACTAAAACTCTATAAATTGTCTGTTAACTTGCGTGCAATGGTTACGTAATGATCATCACGCATGTCTTAAGCGGTCCGGGAATGCGCTTGTTACAGACTATTTCGAAGATATCTTCGAAATTACCCCAGAGTCTTATTAAAAGTTATCCAAATTAATTCATATCAAGGACATCTTTGATACATTGTTAGAAGGGGAAATAAGTATTTATTCTTTTAGAAATGACATGCTTAAACTAAATTATAAAAACTTCCTCATCGTGCTCAGTGCATATTTAACTCTACTGGAATTTGAGATAAATATGTTATATATAAATTGTGTATTAAAAGTATGTTTTAAGAGACTCAACGAAATTATGGCACATTTGCAAAAATTCGTAGTAGAATCGTATGTACTTAGGCTAATCTGTCACATACAGAGAAATCAACGTTTGTTAATACAACTCAAAATTCTGCAAAAGGAGTATCTAATGATTAGTGACACAGTGTTGATTATAATCTTCAGTCTGCAACTTCATGCTACTATAGTCATGACCTTTTCTGATATCATTTTTGAAGTTTATTATTATTGTATGTAGTGTTGGCAAGATGGGATGCACATTACTTTTGATATGCACTTTCATGATATGTTTTTAATATCGATATATATCGAATAACGTTTAATATTTTAAGAATAATGCTAATTGAGTCTGTGAGACTGGCAAGAAACAGGCTCAAGAGAGCCTTGTTCGGCACCACCATTCATGATGTACTGAATAGCGTCAGCAACGAGCAAATTAAGAACGAGGTAATAAAAATTCAATTATATAGGTACATGTATATATTTTTTGCTAAGAATCTAATATACGTTACAGTAATTCTTAAAAACATTAAATTTACTAAAATATGATGATTATATTTTTCAATTGTATGTTTTCCTTCTTGTATTTAATTACATTGAAATCTAATATTGCAGTTGCAGTTGTTTTCTTTACAAATACTATATTGCAAAAATACGTTTTCGACAAAAGGTCTCACTGTAGATGCGACGCTTCTCGCAACAGTAAGTAATCAACTATTTACTTTAATTAAAAAACATATATTGTTCATGTATATATTTTTAATTATTGATTGCAGATGGGGTGGGTGGCATCATGACGTACATGTTAATTTTGATACAATTTTTGATCGCATCACATTCTTGTGATGGAATCAGTACTACAAATAATTCAGTTATATAAATTAATATATACATATAATAAAAAAAAGTAGATTCTTTTTTATTTATGTGTGTGCATACTTATATAATCACTCGTACGTATATACATACGAGATAAATACGTTTTAGAAATGACCTTCTACTATATCTATATTAATATTAAGTTGAAAATAAATCGCTACTGCGTCATTGTATTTGTGCTAAAATATAAAAAGAAACTGTCATCCTGCATTAACATGTAATTTATAAATTTCGACAAACTTCTTAAGAATTTCATTATCAAAAATATGTAGATTAATTTTAATCTGGAGATATAATTTTAATTAAAACATGTATAATGGCATTAATATTGTATTCTCATCAATTTATTAACAGTTTTTTGTTCCCTTTGTGTTTTCCATATCAATGTTTTTCAAAGCATATATAACGCAACTTAATAGTTTTTAAACACACAATATTATAAAAACGTAAATTGAGTTTCTTTCGTCACATTTTAATAAAAATTGGCGAAAATAATTTATAATTATATTTAACTGTACAATACTTGTAAAATAAGTGAAAATTATATTTTTATCAACATAAAAGTATCAATTAACATTGATACATTAAAATTTAAGTTAAAATTTATGTTATGTTTTTTTATCTCTTTCTCTCTCTTCAGTAAAAAAATTCGTAACTCCAAAACTGTTCAGAATCGAACATATGTTTATTAGAAATTTTCGCCTTTTTTATGTGCTGCAGCCACTGCAGCAATTTTGGCACTATGCTGGCAGAATGCTGTTTGTAAATATTAAATAAAATGTGGAAAATGAAATTAATTATTATTATAATCATTATTAACGGATATAATAATTTAAAAACTATTCGATCTATGTACAGTCGGTCAGAAAAAAAAATACAGAAAAGTTGCAATACTTTTTTTCGATGAGTTTCGAAATGCCGCCTACTCACCGAGCGATTCTTATTTGTGAATCCATGAATAAGAATCAATCGCTCGGTGAACAAACTGCATTCCGAAACCCATCGAAAAAAAGTGCTGCAACCTTTCTGTGACCAACTGTACACTTCTTTTTTGTATGTGCAAAAATTTATTATATTATAACAATTACACATAATCATATTATACAATACATTAAGGATAATAAATAGCGACAGAAAAATGTTACAATAATCTAATTCAAAATTAAATAATTCCTGTGAGACATGTCTTGTTATTCTATAGATACAGAAATTCTTTTTTAAAGGAGTAGTTATGATAAATGCCATTTTTGACATCCCCACAAATTCAAACAAAACTAAGGTGAAAATATATACTCGTACTTCCATATCTGCCTCAATTGCCAAATTGAGGCCGAATATTCCCTGTAAAACATTCAAATTTAAAATGTAGTGATTCATAAAAACGAGGTTTCGGAATCATATTCTTCTGGGGAATTATGAAGCTAATATGAATTTAGGGGAGGGGGACAAAAATGATCCTTATCGCAAGCAACCCCTCCTTTAAGCTTACTATGTATAAATCGACAATAACAAATACATATTAGAATCTATTAACATTTCTAATACTGCTTGAATGTAGCAAAAATAATTTTATTATTATAACAGAACGATAATATTAGAATGAGTTGAAAAAGTTTGAACACGATTTTAACAATTCGTCACGGTAAAAATTCAAAATTTGTACTGTATGGTCGATTAATATTAAAGTTAATTGTGATTATTATGTCTTGACACCACTTGACTCGAAATTAAAAGTGTGCGATGTTTTTTTGACCAAAAAATTGACAAAGGTATTATTATGAAATCTGATACGCATGCTTTTAATAAATCCGAATTAATAATTTTTTGCATTTACAGAGCAAGAGGAAGAGATAAAGAGAGAAAATACGAAACTAAAAAGTCGTTAATATGATAAAAGTTTTAGAATTACTGTTCATACAAATGTTACACAATGTACAGGGTCCGGCAAAATGATCTCCCACATTTTGCACCGCTACTGTGCCCGAATCATTGAAGAGAGGGGGAGCTTAGCGTAGTCGGTTGGTAGCTCACGCCTTGCCATTTCAGTTGTCGTCATGAATTGGACGGGTGAGCATCGTGCCTTCGTTATCGAAACATTTTTGAAAAGTAACGAATCTGTGATTACGACGCAAAGAACTTTTCGTACTCACTTCGCGCTTGGTAGACATGCTCCAGTTCCAGATCGCAAAACAATACTGTTGTGGGTTTCAAATTTTAGAGCTACAGGTTCAGCCTTAAAAAGAATACAGCCTTAAAAAGAAATTACAGGAATATCGCCTCAAATTACTGCTCGAGTGATGGAAACTTTCAGAAATCAGCTTCGAATGTGTATCGAAAAAAATGGTCGCCACTTGGACTCTGTAATTTTCAAAACTTAATAAAAACAAATGGCATAGCATACATTTTCAGTTAATAAAAATAAAATCTAAATAGCATTTATAATGGCGTTTTTATTAAAGATTAAAATGTGGGAGATCATTTTGCCGGACCCTGTACTATAATGTACACTATTCTATTTCGTATATGTACACATAATTTATGAGTCACAATTTCATGTAACATTTTTATATAAACATAACTCTAGATTCCTTTAGAAATCAATGCCTCAAACGGTCTAGCTGGATCTTAATGCTTGTATGATTCTGCGTTAATTTATAAACTATGTACGTATGTAGTCCTTTAAAATGCGCGCCAAATGAATTTTCGATCTTAAATCGCAATCTCTATTAAACTACAGTAATATCACGAGTTAAAATGAGTAGCAATTTAACAATTTGATGCTTTTTCGCATCAGAGAACGATCTTAGTAATGCTGAATGACATATTCAAATATGTAAATAATTAATTCTTATTGCAAGAAATATTACCTCGGCCGAGTGTCGAACCCGGTCTCTTGCATTCCGTGCGAGCGTCGTAAGCTTTTAAACTATCGAGACTTTAGTAATATTCTTCGCAATAATTGACATATGAATAATTGACATATACTTTTTGTATAAAAATATCGCAAGAGTGAGAAATGACGATCGAAGAACGCCATGGTTACTTCCTTACTAACAAAGACTTCTTCAGCTTTATCTCTTTGCTGCACGTAGCATTTGTTGGCAGTTTTAAGTTAAAACTCTCCAAGTATATATAAAACAAAGAATCCACATCAGTTAATACAGGCATTGCAAAGAGAGTGAAAGGGAGAGAAAGAAAGTGAGAGAGAGAGAGAGAGAGAGAGAGAGAGAGAGAGAGAGAGAGAGAGAGAGAGAGAGAGACAAACTTGAATATTTTAGCCAAAAAGCTATTATATCCGTGTTAATTCTAATAATTCAGTGTATTAAATCAATGTATTGACTAATATTTAAGATATAGATTGTGATACAGACTGTTACTCTCATAAAATTTCTATTAATTGTGTTCAGTTCGAAAATTCAAAGAGAGTATGAAGAAAAAATGGCAGCTGTTGCACGCCACGGATTTTCAATCATTAATGTATCCTTGCTTCTTTTATTGTGGTCTTCTTGGAGTATTTCCATACAAGATTAATGCTTCGAATTTCGAGATTTCAAAACCACGCTATATCCTGTCGACCGTGATTATTTGCGTTTCTTTCGCTTTATGCCTGCTGGTCAATCACAGTATTATTATTTCTGAAATAATTACCTTTGGAAGCATAGTTAGAAACTTCGAGGCTGTCTGTTTCCTTACGTTTAATGGTTTGATAATGATACTCACGCATATCTTAAGTAATCCACGAATGCGTTTACTACAGAAAATTTGGGAAATCTCTTCAAAACTTTTACCGTCAAAAACCTATCAGAAGTTATCCAGATTGATCCATACCAAGGACGTCTTGAGTGTCATCTTGATAGCCGTGCAAGAATACGTGTACTTCTCTAAAATTCGATTACTTGAAACAAATCATTGGATTGTTAACTGCCTAATCACAGCACTTATAATATATTTGCTTCAGCTGGAGTTTCATATGAATATGCTGTATGTAAATTGTGTTTGTGTATTAAAAGCCTGTTTCAAAAAAATCAACGACGATCTGAATTACATGCAAAGACTTATGACAAACGACATGAAATCATCTGTTCCTAGTTTAATTTGCTCAACGCAGAGAAATCAAATTTTTTTAATAGAATTGAAAACTTTGATGAAACAATATCTAATGATTAATGAAACTATACAACTGCTAAACATAATCTTCAGCTTGCAACTTCTTGCAACTGCAACCGTGACCTTTATTCAAATTACTCGTGAACTATATGGTTTCATAGTGCACTGGCAAGGTGATTTAATCATTACATTTGATCAGCATTTTCTTGATGTGTTTTCGACAACCATGGTGCATTATGTTATGAAAGTAGTGCTAATTGTATGGGCCTGCGAGACCGGCAAAAATCAAGCCCGAGAGATCAGCACTACTATTTACGACGTACTTAATAATACAAGAGATGAGCAAATCAAAGGCGAGGTAATTTTTTTGAATATATATAGTGTTTATTAACGCAATTTTGTAACTATTAAATCTACTAAAATTCTGTTTAGTAACACTATATCTTTTTCGTTCTTGTATTTAATTGTTATGCGACTTGACGTTGCAGTTGCAGCTCTTTTCTTTGCAAATATTGCATTGCAAAAATATATTTTTGACGAAAGGTCTCGCTATGGACGCGACACTTCTCGTAGCAGTAAGTAATCAACTTGTTGCTTTAATTAATAAAAGATATATTGTTTATATTTTCAATTTCTGTTTTTCAGATGGTGGGTGGCATTACGACATACGTGTTAATTTTGATACAATTTCTAATCGCGGCACATTCTTGTGATGAAACATTTGGAATTAGTATTACAAATAATTCAGGTATATAAAATGAGATACATAATAAAAAAAGAGACTTTTTTATATTTACATCGTATATACATATATATGTTGAAATAAAACGTTCTACTGTATCTATGTTAATTCTGAATTAAATATAAATCGCTATTGCATCTTCTGAGTTTTGTTGAAATATAAAAAGAAATTGTCTTACAGTAATATGTATAGTTTATAATAAACATGTAAACAATTTTATTATTTAAAATATGTTAATTAATTTTAATATAGATATATAATTAGATTAATTCTAATCAATATAATAGCACTGTTATTTTCATTAATTTATTAACTTTTTGTTTGTTTTCCTCAGGGTTGGATAAGTTAACTTTTTTTTTAACTAAATTAAGTTAAAATTATCAGCCTTGAAAATTTAATTTCATTAAAATACAAGTTAACTCATAATAAAATTAAGTGAATTAAAAGTTATGTTAATAAAAAAAGTAATTGAAAAGTTAAAAATTAAATTTGGTTCGATCGAACAACTAAAAAAAAGAAAAGTTTGACCATTTTACATAATTTTTCGTATTTTTCCTTTCTTATTTATTAAAGAATCTGGTTATTTTTGTTCACAAGTAACAATTATACAATGTAAAATTACTAAATTATATACTCATTATCTTCTCGCATTGTGTTTGAGGATTGACTTAAAAAAAATCAAATTAAAAGTTAATAGTTTCTGATAAAATGTAACGAAATTAAGTTAAAAAGTTAAAGTCTAAAATGTAACTAAGTTAAGTTAAAATTAATTAACTTTTTAACTTTTTAACTTAATTTCTATCTTTTTAACTTAGCACTATCCAATCCTGGTTTTCCTTATTCTTTTCATATCAACGTCAATGTTTTTCAACGTATATGGAACACAACTTAACAATTAAAAGAGTAATTAATAGGCAATAAGCCAAGCAGAGAGTCAGTGTTAGTAACTCAAAAATATTACTCTTCATATAAAATTCACATAAAATCGAAATTGTGTTTTATACGTTTCGGCCATTCTCATTTGCTTTAAATTTAATATTCTTTCGTCGAAAATTTCCTATTTTTCCATTTTTTATTCAATAGAAAACTCTATTAGGAGACGCTATTAGCACTATTTGTGTCATTCTATCTTTGTTTTATGTGTAACAACGAAGATAGAATGACAAAAGTAGCGCTAATAGCGTTTCCTCGAACGCACCATATATTTTCAGTCAAAGCGCATTACTTTATTTTATTCAATAAAATTTATGAGTCATATATTACAACAACTTCACGTAATTCTTTTATTTCATCTATTTTAATTCATCTCAAGAGTGAAAAGTGTCAATCGAAGAATGTTATGGTTCATTACTAACAAACGACTTCTTCAACTTTGTTTCTCTATTAAACATAGTATTTGCTGGCAGTTTAAGTTGACACTCATCGAGTGTATATAAAATGAAGAGTCCATATCACAGTTAATGCATGTATTACAAAGAAAGGAACTTAAATATTACATTTCAATAGAAAGCTATTATATTATCTCTATTATTATATTATAATATCTCTATTAATTATAATAGTTCAGTGTATTTATTCAGTGTAGTAACTAATAACCCTTATGATTACAATATAGATTATTCCTCTCCCAAAAATATATGTTAATTATGTTCAGTTTGAAAGTCTAAACACGCACCAAAAGCAAAATGTGGACAAGTATGAGTTAGGGCACGTATAAAAAAATACGTATCTCTCTCTTAAGTTTTCGTGTTTAACAACATATTTCATGGAGAATCTGTTCCGGATAATTGTGAAACTTCCCTTGCAAGTATAAATTGACAACAAAAAATATATGTCAGTATCTAATATCATTTCTAATCCTGCTTGAATGTAGCAAAAATCATTTTATTATAACGACAAAAAGATAATGAACGAATAAAGTACACTAGCAAAAAATATAATAGCATATAACTTGAAAAGTTTAGAGACGATTTTAACAATTCGTCATAGTAAAAATTTAAAATTTAAATTATACTGTTGATTAATATTAAAGTTAATTATGATTATTATGTCCAGACACTACTTAACTCGAAATTAAAGTATGCGATGTTTTTTTGACCAAAAAATTGACAAAGGTATTATGAAATCTGATACATATTTATAATAATAAATCCGAATTAATAATTTTTTGCATTTACAGAGCAAGAGGAAGAGATAAAGAGAAAAAATACAAAACTAAAAGTCATTAATATATAAATGAACGTTTTATTAGAATTACTGTTCATACAAATGTTACACAATCTATAATGTACACAATTCTATTTTGTATATGTACACATAATTTATGAATCACAATTTCACGTAATACTTTTGTATAAACACAACTTCTAGAAATCAATGCCATAAATGGTCTAACTGGATTTGAAGTGTGTGTTTGCACGATTCTGTATGAATTTATATACTATATATGAAGTCCTTTAAAATGCGGGCCAAAATGATTTTTCGATCTTGAAACGCAAACTCTACTAAACTACCGCAGTAAGATCGCAAGTTAAATTGACTAGCAATTTAACAATTTGATGCTTTTTCACATCTTAGAACGATCTTAATGCTGAGTGACATTAAATTCTGTAAATAATTAATTTTTAGTACGAGAAATATTACCTTGGGTGTCGAACACAGATCTCTTGCATTCCGTGCGAGCGTCTTATGCCTTTAGATCGAAGCCTTAATAATATTCTTCGCAATAATTGGCATATGAATAATTGACATATACTTTTTGTATAAACATCGCAAGAATGAGATATGCCGATCGAAGAACGCCATGGTTACTATTCTTACTAACAAAGGCTTCTTCAGCTTTGCTACACATAGCATTTGCTGGCAGTTTTAAGTTAAAACTCACTGAGTGTACGAGTATATGAAATGAAAAATCCAAATCATAGTTAATACAGGATACAGGCATTGCAAAGAGAGAGAAAGAAACAGAAAGAGAGAGAGAGAGAGAGAGAGAGAGAGAGAGAGAGAGAGAGAGGGAGTGAGAGAGAGGGGGGAGAGAGAAACGAACCTAAATATTACACTTAGCCGAGTATTAATTCAATGTATTGACTAATATTTAAGATATAGATTGTGATACAGACTGTTACTCTCCTAAAAATTTTTACTAATTGTGTTTAGTTCGAAAATTCAAAAAGAAAATGAAGAATAGATGGCAGCTGTTGCACGCCACGGATTTTCAATCCTTAATGTATCCTTGCTTCTTTTATTGTGGTATTCTTGGAATATTTCCATATAAAATCAATGCTTCGAATTTCGAGATTTCGAAACCACGCTATATCCTATCGATCGTGATTATCTGCGTTTCCTCCATTATATGCCTATTAGTCAATCACGGTATTATTATTTCTAAAGTAATTACTCTTGGAAGCATAGTTAGAGACTTTGAGGCTGTCTGTTTCCTTACGTTTAATGGTTTGATAATGATACTCACGCATATCTTAAGTAATCCACGAATGCGTTTACTACAGAAAATTTGGGAAATCTCTTCAAAACTTTTACCGTCAAAAACCTATCAGAAGTTATCCAGATTAATCCATACCAAGGACGTCTTGAGTGCCATCTTGATAGCCGTGCAAGAATACCTGTATTTCTCTAAAATTCGATTACTTGAAACAAATCTTTGGATTGTTAACTGCCTAATCACAGCATTTATAATATATTTGCTTCAGCTGGAGTTTCATATGAATATGCTGTATGTAAATTGTGTTTGTGTATTAAAAGCCTGTTTCAAAAAAATCAACGACGATCTGAATTACATGCAAAAACTCATGACAAACGACATGAGATCATCTGTTCCTAGTTTAATTTGCTCAACGCAGAGAAATCAAATTTTTTTAATAGAATTGAAAACTTTGATGAAACAACATCTAATGATTAACGAAACTGTACAACTGCTAAACATAATCTTCAGCTTGCAACTTCTTGCAACTGCAACCGTGACCTTTATTCAAATTACTCGTGAACTATATGATTCCATAGTGCACTGGCAAGGTGATTTAATCATTACTTTTGATCAGCATTTTCTTGATGCGTTTTCGACAACCATGGTGCATTATGTTATGAAAGTAGTGCCAATTGTATGGGCCTGTGAGACCGGCAAAAATCAAGCCCGAGAGATCAGCACTACCATTTACGACGTACTTAATAATACAAGAGATGAGCAAATCAAAGGCGAGGTAATTTTTTTGAATATATATAGTGTTTATTAACGCAATTTTGTAACTATTAAATCTACTAAAATTATGTTTAGTAACTATATCTTTTTCGTTCTTGTATTGAATTATTATGCGACTTGACGTTGCAGTTGCAACTCTTTTCTTTGCAAATACTGCATTGCAAAAATACATTTTTGACGAAAGGTCTCGCTATGGACGCGACACTTCTCGTAGCAGTAAGTAATCAACTTGTTGCTTTAATTAATAAAACATATATTGTTTATATTTTAAATTTCTGTTTTTCAGATGGTGGGTGGTATTACGACATACATGTTAATTTTGATACAATTTCTATTCGCGGCACATTCTTGTGATGAAACATTTGGAATTAGTATTACAAATAATTCAGTTATATAAAATGAGATACATAATAAAAAGAGAGACTTTTTTATATTTACATCATATATACATACATATGTTGAAATAAAACGTTCTACTGTATCTGTGTTAATAGTGAATTAAATATAAATCGCATCTTCCGAGTTTTGTTGAAATATTTAAAGAGGAATTGTTTTGCAGTAATATGTATTTTATGGATTACAATAAACATGTAAACAATTTTATTATATAACATATGTTAATTAATTTTAATATAGATATATAGTTAGATTAATTCTAATCAATATAATAGCACTGTTATTCTCATTATTAAATTATTACACATTTTATTTGTTTTCCTTATTCTTTTCGTATCAACGTCAATGTTTCTCAATGTATATGCATCACAATTTAATAGTTAGATAAGTAATTAATAGGCAATATGCCAAGCAGAAAATCAGTGTTAGTAACTTAAAAATATACTCTTCACATGAAATCAAAATTATGTTTTAAACGTTTTGGCCATTCTCATTTGCTGCAACAAGTTTAATACTTTTTCGTCGAAAATTTCCTTCTTTTCCATTTTTTTTCGATACAAAACTCATTACCTGTCGTGACGTGTGATTTGTCTTTGAGTCTACACAACACATACTAACACCTATCGAGCGACATAAACAAATTATTTGAAAGAGAATTGTTTTGTTTTAATTTATGATAGGCTATATTTCCAGTCAAGGCGTATTACTCTGTTTTATTCAATAAAATTTATGAGTCATAAATTACAATAATTTCACGTAATTCTTGTATTTCTGTTTTAATTCATCTGAAGAGTGAAAAGTGTCGATCGAAAAACCATGGTTACTTCATTACTAACAAACGGCTTCTTCAACTTTATTTGTCTATTAAACATAGTATTTGCTAGCAGTTTAAGTTGAAACTCATCGAGTGTATATAAAAAAATAAAGAATTCACAGTTAATGCACGTGTTACATAGAGAAGAACTTTAATATTACATTTCAATGGAAAACTATTATTCTGTATTAATTCTAATAATTCAGTGTATTCATTCAGAGAGTGTACTAATTAATAACACTTAGGATTACAATATAGACTATTCCTCTCACAAAAATATTTGCTAATTATGTTCAGTTCGAAAATCTAAACACGCGCCAAAGGCAAAATGTGTAAAAAATGGCAAGTGTTTCGTGCCACAGATTTTCAATCCTTGATGTATCCCAACTTTATCATAAGTAAAATTCTTGGAATATTTCCATACAAGATCAATGCGTCGACCTTCGAGATTTCTAAACCGTGCTACATCATGTCGACCGTGATTATTTGCATTTACTGCAGTTTTTATTTGCTACTCATCCACAAGATTATTATTTCTAAAATATTTTCCTTTGGAGACGTAACGAGGACTCTTGAGTATTTGTGTTTTTTTACGCTCGGCGGTTTGATGGCGATTGTCACATACATTTTGAGCAAACCACGAATGCACTTGCTACAGAACATTTTAAACATCTCTTCAAAACTATCTACGGAATCATATGAGAAATTGTCTAGATGGATTCACATCAAGGACATCTTCGGTGTCATTATGCTAGTCGTGCAAGAATATATGTATTTCTCTAAAGTGCAAATATTTGAAAAGAATTATTGGAGCGCCCTAATCATGACAATTGTGATATATTTGGTTCTGTTGGAGTTTCAGATGAATATGTTACATGTAAATTGTGTTTGTGTATTAAAGGCCTGTTTCAAAAAAATCAACGACGATTTAACTCATATGTATACACGTATGATAAACGATGAAAAATTACCTGTTTCCAATTTAATTTGCCACATGCCGAGAAATCAATTTTTTTTGGCAGAACTCAAATCTTTGATGAAACAATATTTGATATTAACCGAAACAGTACAAATGCTAAACATAATCTTCAGCCTGCAACTTCTTGCTATTGTAATCTTGTCCTTCATTGAAATTACTGTTGAACTGTATTTTTATCTAGTGCGCTGGCAAGGTGAGGTACTTATTACTTTTGACAAGCACCTTCTTGATGCGTTCTTGACATCTATGGTGCATTATATTATAAAAGTAACGTTTATTGTCTGGGCTTGCGAGACTGGCAAGAATGAAGCCCAAAAGATCAGTTCTACTATTTACGATGTACGTAACAGCATAAGAGATAAACAAATAAAAAACGAGGTAATTTTTTTTAATATATGGTGTTTATCAACATGCGATTTTTTAACTATTAAAGCTACTGAAATTGCATTTAATAATACTATTTCTTTCCGTTTTCTTACATTTAATTATTTTGCAATCTGACGTTACAGTTAAAATTCTTTTCTTTACAAATACTACATTGCAAAAATACATTTTCAACAAAAGGTCTCACTGTCGACGCGACGCTTCTCGCAGCAGTAAGTGATCAATTTGCTGCTATAACTGATAAAAGATGTACTATTTATATTTAAATTATTGTTTTTCAGATGGTGGGTGGTATCACAACATACATTTTAATTTTGATACAATTTCTGATCACGACACATTCTTGCGATGAAAATCTGTAATTAATGTTACATAAACAATTTCGTTGTATAATAGAAAATATATTGATAAAAAAAACAAAGATTGCTTTTAGAATCGCTCATATATAAATGTATTAAAACAGAATTTTTTCTTATGTGCATGTTCTAAAATATCTATTATTAACATGATATAAGACTTATATTGTTAGGCCTAGATTAAGGGGGGAGTTAAGGGGGCCACAGCCCCCGGCTCTTAAACCAGCTCTAAATCGTTCTACAATGATTGATATTAGTTTATTAATATAAATATAAGTAACAGTAACTTTTATTTAAATTGTATAAATTTTTTTGTGTTATTAAAACTTTTAATTATTACAAGTGACTTCTCATTTTAGAGCGGTCAATTTATATGTAGACACTTTTATTATGATATAATAAAATATCTTGTATATGGAGAATATAAACATGGACTTTGAAAATAGACAGTCATTAGCAAATAGGTAATCGTTATAAAAGCATTTTTGAGAGCGATTCACATGATAATGTCGTTTGCTGTTTCATATGTGCACATATTATTCGCAAGTCATATGTCGTACCAATTACATAATTTACATATTGTTCCTTTATAAAGAAATAACAATTGCCGATCGAAAAATGCCATGGTAACATATTATGCCAAACAAAGTATCTTTTTAGTTTTACGTCATTACGAGATAGAAAATGTAGCCAGGTGGGGCATGGATCTTTCCTCTTTTTGACGTGGAATTTCACGTGACCTCATCACGTGATCGTTCGGAATCTCACCCACCAGTAGTATGTGGTGAAGAGAGCCGGCGACATCACGTGATGAGATTACGTGAGAATCCATGCCACAAAGAGGGGAGATCTATGTTCCACGAATTAGCAATTATATTCGCAGTTTTGAAATTATATTTGTCGAGTGAACATTGACGACGAGAATTTCATATCGATTTATGTAGTCAGAAAAACGAAAGTAGATTGTACTTATAGAAAAGGAGCTTCGTTGTCACATTTATATTTATATCAAAATGTATTAATAACGTAATTATTAATTTACAAATTGTAGTTCAGAGTATATCGTTTGTTAGTGACAAATCATCGATTATGTTCAATATGTCATCGAGTTTCCAAGGAGAATCCAGAGGCAAAGAAAAAAAAGCAGAATGGCGATTGTTCCAAGCCAAGGACTTTCAATCCTTGATGTACCCTTGCTTCGCTTTGTGTCGTATCTTAGGAATATTTCCGTATAAAATCAATGCTACGAGTTTTGAAATTTCAAAACCATACCTCATTCTGTTGATCGTTATTGTCTGCCCTTGTAGCATTTGGTCATTGATAACATTGCACAATTCTTCCATTCTTGAAAAAATTGATATGTTGTATATACCTCAGACTCTTGTGCATATCTGTTTTTTAGTGCTTGGCAATTTCATAATAATTGTCACGTTTATTCTAACAGTTCCACGAATGCGCTTGCTTCAGACTATACTGAAGATCTCTTCAAGATTGCCCTCAGAATCATATGATAAATTATCTAAACTGATCCACACTAAGGACATCATCGGTTTCTTTTATTCAATTGGAATCGCACTAATGCTCATATTCTTACTGCCAATGAATCGCTTATTTGAATTGTACATCATGGCAGTGATATTCCAAATGAATATGCTGTACGTAAATTGTGTTTGTGTATTAAAAGCATGTTTTACAAGAATGAACGACAATTTGATGAGCATTAGAAGATTCATTGCAAATAATGAGCCAAGCGTCCCTAGAATAAACTATCACAATCACAGAAATATGTTTCTGATCATGGAACTCAAGGCTTTAAAGAAGCAACATTTGACGACCAGTGATACAGTACGGATGTTAAACGTAATCTTCAGTTTACAGCTTCTTGCTACAGTAGTCATAATCTTTTCTACCGTCACTATCTGTTTATACTACTACATACTATCATCGAAAAGTATTTTTGTGAACATGAATTTTTTTGAGATGGTATTGTCTCATGTATATTTCCTACTATACATGGCATACTTTTTTATAAAAATTCTATTGATAGTATGGGCCTGCGAAACGGGGAAACATCAAGCTCAACAAATCAGTACTTCCATTCATGATGTATTTAACATTACCACTGATGAGAAAATCAAAGATGAGGTAGTATATTGAAGAAACATCGAATTTTTACATTTTTTTTTAAATTCAGAATATCTTGTGTGGCTAATTTTTGTTAAACGAAATTGTATTCATAATTATGTTTTCCAATCTTACATTTAACGATTTTGTAATTGCAGTTACAAATATTTTCTTTACAAGTACTTCATTGCGATAATACATTTTCCGCAAAAGGTTTTACTATAGACGCGAAGCTTCTCGCTGCGGTGAGTGATGTATCGTACGCTTTTGTTAATTAATAATTCTGATTTCTAATATATATATATATATAAATTAATAGGATATGCATTGTTTCTTTTCTTAATTTTGTTTTTAGATAGTAAGCAGCGTCAGCGTGTACGTAATAATATTATTTCAATTCATGTATATATCATATTCTTGCGTGGAAAAGACAGCAAACAGTACAGGAGAAATTTAATTAAAAAAAGATATATAACAAAATAAACAAATGCGTTTTTAAATATTAAAAAGAATTGATTCCTATGGATTAAATTTTATATATTTATGTTGATGTGAGTAGTAATCGCTTAACTCTTTCTGTTTATACACATATATGTACATACTCATATAAGAACAAAAATGTACTATATAAATCTTATCAATAAAAATCTTGTGTTAAATTTTTATGAATACTAAATCGAAAAGAAAATTTTAATAATAAGAATTTTTCATAATAAGAAAAAATTTTAATGTTCCATTTGCTCAAATATATTGTATAATAAATTGGTTTTCATAACGAAAATAGAGAGAAAGAGAGAGAATTTTCGAATTGAACAATCATCATTAATGGATTTCTGTATTTGATGCAATATTATACGGTCAGTGTACAATGTCCTCTACTTTATATGTGCACAAATAATACATTTATTAGTTGTATATTAAGACAATTTCATATAAGCTTTTAGCACCATGGTTACTTCATGACTAACAAATGTCTTCTTCAGTATTCTGCTTTATATAATACCGTTGACAGTTTTCAATTGAAACTCATTGCAAGTGTATATAAGACGTAAAGTCCACGTCACATTTTACACACTTGATACAAAGAGATCAACTTATACATTACATAGAAAAACATTTGCATTAGTACTACAGTGTATTGATTAATAACATTTAAGATGTGTGTTATGATATAGACTGTTAATATTCTAGAAATTTCAATTAATTGTGTTTGGTTTGAAAAACCCAAGGATACATCAAAGGAAAAATGTGGAAAAGATGGTGGCTATTACAGGCCATGGACTTTCAATCCTTAATGTGTCCTTGTTTCATCATTGGTCGCATACTCGGAATGTTTCCCTATAAAGTCAATGCTTCGACTTTCGAGGCTTCAAAACCATGCTACATCCTATCGACCATAGTTATCTGCATTTGCGGCATTTATGACATAAGCCTCATTCACACTATTATTTATGAAGTTAATTTGGGAGACATGACCAAAAATCTTGAGGCTATCTTTTACTATATGTGTAGCGGTTTCATCTTGATCATTACACATATCTTGAGCGGTCCGCGAATGCGCTTACTACAAACTATTTTGAAGATCTCTTCGAAATTACCCTCGAAGTCATATCAAAAGCTGTCCAGATTTATCCATGTTAAGGATATCTTCGGTACAATATCCGTGATTGTGCAAATATGTATGTATTTTCCTAAAGCAGAAATGTTTAATTTTTTGAGTGTCCTGGCCAGAGTATTCACAGTGTATTACCTCCTTGTGGTATTTCAAACAAATATGTTGTATATAAATTGTGTTTACGTATTAAATGCTTGTTTCAAGAATATTAATGATAATCTGACGAATATACAAGGGCGCATGGTAAACGATACAAGACCATCATGTGTCCCCATGTTGATGGGCCACATAAAGAGGATTATGCTAATAGAAATTAAGGCCCTGGAGAAGCGACATCTGATGCTTAGCGATGTAGTGCAAATGATGAACAAAGTCTTCAATCTGCAACTCATTGCTACTGTGGTTATAATCTTTTCTAATATAACTTTTGAATTGTACTTCTATATAGTGCGCTGGCAAGATGGGATACTCATTATTAGTTTTAATAATCCGTTTTTTGACAAATTTTTAATGACTGTAATATATCACGTTACACAAATGATGTTACTTGTGTGGATCTGCGAGACCGGAAAGAATCAGGCTCATCAGACTCGTACCACTATTCATGATCTACTTAACAGCACTAGCGATAAACAAATTAAAGACGAGGTAATAAAAATTGTAATTTTATTTGCATATATTTAATTTATTTATATATTTTTCTGAAAATGTATTTACGTTAATTTTTTCAAACATTAAATTTATCGAGTTACAATTGCGTTTTTCAATTTTACATCTTCATTCTTGCATTTATTACTTTGAGATCTAACATTGCAGTTGCGGCTGTTTTCTTTACAATTATTGCATTACGATAACACTTTTTCGGCAAAAGGTCTCAATGTAGATGCGTCGCTTTTCGCAAAAGTAAGTAATGAAATTATTTGGTTTAATTAATAATCCACATTGTTTACATTTTATTGTTGTTTTCAGTTTATGGGTGGCATCACGACATACATGTTGATATTGATACAATTCTTGATTACATCTCATTCTTGCGACAGAAAGTCAATATTACATAAGTAATCCAATTATATAAAAGGGATAATCAAAGAATAGAATACGATTTATATATATATATATTTGTATAGTTCCTTATATAAGAAAGAAATATTATATAAAAGGAGCTCCGACAATTTTTGTTATTATTATATTATGATAATATATTATATCATATTTAGAAGAAAGAAGTCTACTTAATTTTTTTAATGCATCTCCTATATATACCTAATGCTTGCAACTTAATTAAACTTAATACTTTACGAATTTTGTATCAATATATTTTAGGTTTAGAATACATCAACAACTGTATCAATTCTTAACACAAATTGATATTTGTACGATCTAGTGGAATGAAAATGGGTAATATATCATATTAAGAATAAATAATCGTTAATAATGATTAATGTGATAATTATTTTAACTATTTTTCGAGCATCACTTTGATCTCTAAACAGAATATAAAAGTAATATGAGAAGAATGGAATAAAAAAAAATGTTTCACAAATTTATACTGATTATAAAAGATAAACAACAATACAGCAATATATAATATTTATACATAACTGTCGCTAGATTTTGTAATCCAAGTTCAAAGTAAGGAATTACAGAGTCATGTGTGTGGAGCGAAAGATGTATGAAGAAGATTGTAAAAAAAGGAAATTGTAAGAAAAAAGAAAGCTTTACAAAAAAATGACACTAGGCTTTTCATTATGCACTATAAGACCTAAAGGATTTTTAAAGCTTCTGTTAATTCATTACTATCTCAGATTATGATGTCAGAAACGAGAAAACAATACAAATTCTTGTAAAAAGAATTATACCTGTATAGAAGAAACATTTTTTAATAAAATAACATTTACAATCAATTGACTTAGAAAATGTATTGAAAACTTCTGAAGAGAAATTAAATCATATTCATTTCTAAATACTATCAATTTGAGAGTTTATCATAGTTGTGACTAGCTGATTTCATTTTTGATTGTGCATGATTAATTTTTTTTCACATGGATATTTATTAATTAACATAACAAAAGAAGAATTTTCAATATATTTTGCAAGTCAATTTTATCAATTATAAGCTTTAGCGAAACATATTTCTGTATTAAAATATTGCAAAAATTTTGGTTGTGTATTATCTTGCTAACGTCACAATCTGAGTAGCTATGAAAGAATAGAAGTAATATCTTAATAAATTAAAAATAAAGACATATTTTTCTAACAGAGAAAAATTCTAATAAATATTAATAGTATTAATTTTAATCTTAAAAAAATATCTTCCTATTTACCTTTAAATTGTTTGACAAACAATCAACACCTACAATTTTTACACATATTTATAAATTATATTTCTTTATGATTATTTATTAAAATAATAAAATATATATATTTTTGAATGATATCAAATCATATAATTATATAAATATCAGGTGGTTGCATATGAAACCGCCCATTTTTGAGCGAAAGAAAATACAATGATATGTCCACATTTAAGGAGATGCTAAAGTCGTCCTACTTTACCATCATTTCCATTCGGTGAAAAATCTCCGAATTGGATTTACGGATTGCAAAATTATTATTACAGAATTAAAGTACGCACAAACAGGACTTCAGCTGCAGTGGATTTCACGAGAAAATCGAAAAAAAGTTAAAAAATTCACTTACTTTTGGCTCGTACAGCTGTCAGGTATGTATTTGCTTGATACAAGAATTTTATAGTCTATATTTTGAAAATAAGCGTGCAGCTGATGTGACATTACTGGAAAGAACGATACCGAGTTTGTAGAACTAAGATTGAAAGTCTAGAAGAAAAGTATTTTCACCGAATAGAAAATACGTGTTTACGGATGCTTTGCGAAGACTGGGAATGTCAACAGAACCGAAATTCCGTGTAGTAGTAGTTGCGCGGTCTTGCGATAGATGGTGCTGGGATATGTTAGATAAGGACAGATGTATGTGTTTGAGTGAGACAGAACGATATATTGTATAATATAATGTAAGAAATGAATCAAATATGTCACTATTATCGAATTTGGAATTAAAAAAGTCTGCACTATTGACCTCGATCAAGTTCGGTAATCAGTTTAGGATCCTCTTAAGACTTCAGCCAACTCCACCAGCGTTTGACTCGAGTCTTCGTCCAATAATGCGTCCAATTCCGTGTCCTCAAATTTTTTGGATAGTTTTCCGCGGTCCTTGTTGGTCATAGAGAAATCATCACTTTGGAAGTGGCGGAAACACTCTTTGCACATTGTACTCGATGGAGCATGTTCGGCATACACTTCCTCTAGCAAACGATGCGTTTCCGCGGGCGATTTCTTTATCAGGAAATAATGAAGCATAGCGCACTTCCCGTAAATGTGATTTATTTGGAACGAAACTTGCCATTGTAAACACAATCAAAATAGATGATGTTAACGCGTTGCACAAATGTCATCTATGGCGTTTTGGCGGGACTCTATAGATCTGTCATCATGTGTATTGCCAGCTTTCAATTCGAAGAAATAGTGTACTTAACGCCATTTATTGCCAATAGGTGATTTCATATGTAACCACCCAATAAATAATTTATTTTGCTTAACTTATGTTTGTTCTTATAAATATCATCTTTCATCGAAGATAATATAG